GTTGCCGACTAAGCCAGACAGGCTTCTGATTTGTGAGCTATTTATGGTTTCTAGAATTGCTGCCCTCATTCATCGTTGCAATTAATTGCAAGAAGCCTGGAGATGATAAATGCCTAGGTCATTATTGCTAAATATCTGTGAGTATACTTTTTTAAAGCTCTGATTCTTCCTAGAAGAAACCCTCCAGTTCCTAACTTGACAGCCCCAAATTAATTGTGGTTTCTTTTTGGGACCTCAGGCTTTCTACCAAAGATCTTTCATATGTTTCATTTGAAGAGCTGATTTATACAACTGACTGAAACACTGCAAGGGTGAGAGTGCACTGGTCAATGTGCTACTTTGGGCCATGAATTGCATCCTTAGAGGAAGCTAAGGAGAGTATTTGTTCAAGGTTTCAATACAATAGAAGTGATGATAAAAAGTTGGGGTGTAGAGTGTGTCTTCTGTCCTTTTTCTGGACAGCGCTGATGAGGTGAATGCTTAAATGCTTATTTAATTTAATGCGTATTTGACAATGTGAAAGAAAGAGGCACTTTTTTTAGGAAACCTAAGAAATATTTTGCTAGTATATTCTAGGCTGGTGCATTTCAACTAAGTGGTAATGGAGTGAAGCTGGTGACCCTTAAGAAGGCTTACAAGGGCACTGTAAACTACAAACTGCAGGTATGGAGAAGTGCAAACTTCAGAATACTATGTTGTGAAATAAATAGGAACTCCCTACTAGAAAGAGCGGATGAAGGTTTAAAAAATGGTGGGAAATAAGTTAAAATAGCTGACCTACTGTGCAAGGCATAGCTATAAACAGATGAGTTGGGATCAGTGTAATTGCTTTTTACTTGAACACTGAGAGTGCATTAGAACCGATTAATTTTAAAAAAGAATGGCAATATAGTAGCTGTAAGAACAGCTGTAGAGGGTCAGAATAAGACCTCAACTAACCCGGTCTCTGATTTGTGAACAGTGATAGTTCTCTGACATTCTCATCTGGTGTCCAGCTTTCCTTCTGTGATTTTTTTCTAATTGCCTTTCGCATCCGCAGCATCATTTAGCATGCATTTCCATAGATCAACCATGTATCGTGTGAAAGCGTTTCACTTTTTCCTTTTGTGTAGCCTGCTAATTTCGTGTCTTGCAGTAGTGCCTGTTTGAACAGCTATTTGTTATTCTTACCAGTCTTGTAAATATTTTAATCTTCAATTAAGTTGCCTCTGTCCCACGCTAAAGAGTCCTAGTCTGTTTAGATATTGCATCTATGAAAACAGTGGTAGGTCTTGATGCAGTCTCATTTTCTTCTCTTGTCTTCTTTCCTAATTATTCTATATCCACTTTGGGTGGGAGTAGAGAAAAGATCAGATGACGTACAGTTAAGTAAATGCTATCTGAGGTGTTTTCCTAGGACGCTAGTCCTGCACAAGTGAGCCAGAGAACAAACAATGCTGGTAGGAGAGTGCTGCCGTATGAACGACAGAATGGTGACAGAAAAGATACCTGGCAGTAAGTGTCATGGGCTCTCAGGGGGTGAGAAGGGAATAAGTGTGCTTGTCACTTCACTGCTCTGTAATACTTAGTGCATCCCATGCAATGTGAACTTGTGACTTTAACCTGCCAGATGTCTGCTGGGAACTCCACAAAGCGGAGAAGAGGCTGTCTAGGAGATTCCTAGAGTGTACAGAGGATAATTTCCTACTCCAGCTGGTAAATGAGCCTACCAGGGATGGAGCCCTGCTAGACCTTCTGTTCACAAACAGAGAGGGGCTGGTGGGAGATGTGGTGCTCAGTGGACGTCTGGGGCACAGTGATCATGAAATAATAGAGTTTTCAATACTCAGGGATGCAAAGAGGGCCATCAATAAAACCTCTACATTGGACTTCCAGAGGGCAGATTTCAACCTATTCAGAAGATTGGTTCAAAGTGTACCCTGGGAAACAGCCCTTGAAAACAAAGGGGTCCAGGAGGGATGGATGTACTTCAAGAAGCAAGTTTTGAAAGCACAGGAGCAGGCTGTCCCCGTGTGCCGAAAGGCGAGCCGGCGAGGAAGATGACCAGTCTGGCTGAACAGGGAGATTTTGAAAGAAATTAGGGTAAAGAAGAGAGCCTACCAATTATGGAGAAAAAGGCTGGCTACTCAGGAACAGTTCAGGAATATAGTTAGGTGATGTAGAAGGAAAATTAGAGTGACGAAGGCACAACTTGAACTGAATCTCGCCACCTCTGTGAAGGATAACAAAAAGTTCTTCTACAGATACATCAGTAGCAAAAGGAGGGGCAAGGAAAACCTCCATTCTTTACCGACTATGGGCAGGAATATAGTTATCAAAGATGAGGAAAAGGCTGAAGTATTTAACACCTTCTTTGTCTCAGTTTTCAACAGTAAGACAGGTTGTCCTGAGGACAGCTGACTTCTGGAGCTTGTAGAAAGAGACAAGAATCTGAACAACCCCCTTGTAATCCAGAAGGAAACAGTGACCTGCTGAGCTGCTTGGATCCCCACAAGTCTATGGGAGCAGATGGGATCCATCCTAGAGTGATGAGGGAGCTGACAGAAGAACTCGCCAAGCCTCTCTCCATCACCTATCAACAGTCCTGGCTCACTGGGGAGGTCCCAGATGATTGGAAGTTGGCGAATGTCACGCCAATCCACAAAAAGGGCCGGAAGGAGGACCCAGGAAACTACAGGCCCGTCAGCCTGACCTCAGTGCCTGGCGAGGTTATGGAGCAGATCATCCTCAGTGCAATCACACAGCACCTACAGGATGGACAAGGGATCAGAACCAGCCAGCACGGTTTAGGATGGGCAGGTCCTGTCTGACCAACCTGATCTCCTTTTATGATCAGGTGACCCACCTGGTGGATGAGGGGAAGGCTGTGGATGTGTCTACCTGGACTTCAGCAAGGCCTTTGACACTGTCTCCCACAGCATACTCCTGAAAAAACTGGCAGCCCACGGCTTGGACAGGGGCACCCTATGCTGGGTCAGGAACTGGTTGGAGGGCTGGGCCCAGAGAGTGGTAGTGACTGGTGCTGCATCCGGTTGGTGGCTGGTCACTGGGGGTGTCCCCCAGGGATCAGTGTTGGGTCCAATTCTGTTTAATATCTTTATTGATGATCTAGATGAGGGGATTGAGTCCATCATCAGCAAATTTGCAGATGACACCAAGTTGGGGGGGAGTATCAATCAGCTGGAAGGCAGGAGGGCTCTGCAGAGGGACCTGGATAGGTTGGAGAGTTGGGCTGATTCCAATGGGATGAGGTTCAACAAGGCCAAGTGCCGGGTCCTGCACTTTGGCCACAAGAACCCCCTGCAGCGTTATAGGCTGGGCACAGAGTGGCTGGAGAGCAACCAGACAGAGAGGGACCTGGGAGTTTGGATTGACAGGAAGCTGAACATGAGCCAGCAGTGTGCCCAGGTGGCCAAGAAGGCCAATGGCATCCTGGCCTGTATCAGGAACAGCGTGGCCAACAGGTCCAGGGAAGTGATTCTTCCCCTGTACTCAGTGCCGGTGAGGCCACACCTGGAGTGCTGTGTCCAGTTCTGGGCCCTTCAGTTCAGGAAGGATATTGAGGTGCTGGAGCAGGTCCAGAGAAGAGCAACTAGGCTGGTGAAGGGATTCAAGCACAAGTCCTATGAGGAGAGGCTGAGGGAGCTGGGGCTGTTCAGCCTGGAGAAAAGGAGGCTCAGGGGAGACCTCATCACTCTCCTTTCTACTCCCTGAAAGGAGGTTGTAGCCAGGTGGGGGTTGGTCTCTTTTCCCAGGCAACCATCAGCAAGACAAGAGGGCATGGTCTCAAGTTGTGCCAGGGGAGGTTAAGGTTAGATATTAGAAAGAATTTCTTTACAGAGAGGGTGGTCAGACATTGGAATGGGCTGCCCAGGGAAGTGGTGGATTCTCCATCCCTGGAGATTTTTAAAAAGAGACTGGATGTGGCACTTGGTGCCGTGGTCTAGTAACTGCAGTGGGGTTGGATCAAGGGTTGGACTTGATGATCTCGGAGATCCCTTCCAACCCAACTGATTCTATGATTCTATGATTCTAAAAAATGTGTCACAGGATATGCTGCTATTATTCTTCCAGTTGCCCATTTACTTACAAAAAGATAATTTTTTTCCCTTCTTATTATATTCTTTCCTAAGCTTCTTTCAATGCCCACTGACTGAGAAACTTTGTTCCAACCCAGTAAAGCAGTTCGTGCTTAAAAAAGGTGCTTAAGCAAGATTAGTAGGCTCAAGGAAGTTGGGTCCAAGGAAGGGCTCAGAAAAGTTTACCTGTGCACTGAAGCTTACAGCTGTTTCCTGGGATCATGGCATTACAGAATCTGTTTGAAGGCAACTTGGAGTCCATATAGTCCAACCTCTTGTTTAATGTAGGGTGAACATGAAATGCAAACCAGATTGCTCAGGGCTTGTCCAATTGGGCAAGTTCTGTAAACTTGTAAAAGGATAGAGACTCCCCAACCTCTTTGTGCAATTTCTTCCAATTTTGATTGTTAAGTTGGTGGTTTATTAAATAATTATGTTTGCATCATTTAGACAATAAAACTGTCATATAATCATGATAATGTGACCGACAAGCAGATATCACTGCAGTTCTGGGACTGTAAAAATAGGACACAAGCAGCGCATCCATCAAAACACACCTTGAAAATTCTAGTCTTTGCTGACCACAATGGAAATGAGATTGGTTTCTGGCTTCAAGCATGTTAATTTGCCAGTGTTAAGGATTTTGAAATAGTTTGAGGCCATCTATTTTTTTAGTGTAGTGATGCAAGTAAAACAAATTACTCCATCACCTAAGTATTTTATTTTAAACAAGAAGTACTCACTCAGTATTTAAAATGTAAGACCTGAGAGTAACTGCTTTGCACTCCTGATAATTGTTTTTAGAGCATGACAAGCAGCTGTCTCCAGATGGTGGTCTGTATTCCACATCCTTCTCTACTGTAATGGAAACATGTACTGCAGTAGTAATCTAAAGCTTTTTGTAACTTGTCTCTTTTTCAGCTTTGGTTTGCTTTCGTTAATGGATTTTCTGGGCAGATCTTATTTGAGCGATGGTGCATTGGTCTGTATAACGTGGTAAGTGTTTTGACTTGGTAATGCTGGGGACTTGTATATTATTTTGTTGTGTCCCATTTTTCACAGGTACCTGTCATAGACATATATGAGGGAAGGTGAGTTCATTTGTAAAAATCATTTTGAATCCACTTTGAGGTAAGAAAAAAGTAATTTAAAATGATGCTTTTATCACAAAAATAAATTTGGGAGAATACCTTGAAAATAGATGATTAGCCTAATGTAACCTGCAATAAAGCTCTGCAGATTTTTAGATAGAATTTGATTTCCTCTTTCAAAGCATCTTCAGTCTTTTCTACCGAATATTTTGCTGATAGTTCATGTTCAAAATGTCCTAATCTTTGAGTTTTGATTAATTTTTTTTCTCTCAGACCCCATAAGAGTTAGATGCTCAGATAAGTGTCATGCAGATGCTTTGGGTTGACTCATGCTACATTAGGTACAGAAAGAGAAGTAGCATCACTGTGTAACCAGCATTTTTCACTTGAACCAAGGACAGGATGTGTCAGTTTGTGAGTGATTTCTGATTTTTGCCGTGGTCTGCAGAGTGCTACACTGTGCCTTATGACTATATTACTTTAATCAATAATATTATTTAATCAATCACATTAATTAAAGTCTGAAAGATCTCTGAAACCAAGTTTCATAGCATAGACCTGTGTTGGTGTTTGACAGTGTTACCTTTGTAATGTTACCGGTGAGAGGCCTGCTGCATGAATATATAAGTCATTAGGACGGTGTCACTATTGGAGAATCCTTTGGATTTCTCTTTGCAGGGAGGAAATTTAATTTTTTTCTTTAAGAAAACTCATTCCAAATATATGATAATACAGAAAAAGCCAGCAAATTATCACTGAGTAGTATTAATGGAAACACTTAACTTCTGTCACATTAATTTTAAAAATGATGACACAAACCCTCATATTCCATAAAATTTGATGCTCTTAGTGGAAGATATTTATTCAAGGATTTATCATTCCCTTGATTCTCTTCACCCTAATTTCCTGACTGTTACTCAGTCTCTGTCATTTGTATTTAGATATTTGCATCTATTATCTTTAAACCTCATTTGATGAATTTACCTACCCTACCTAAAGCTTCTGGATGAAACTCATCTTCTGTAACCAGTGAAGTAGAAATTAAACCTTGTTTTGTAAGCTTAGTATTTTCTAAAATTAGAACTGGTTGCGTGGACTCGTGAAGAATCAAGTGCTAGTAGGTTATTAGGGACTTCCACAGTTTGAAGGGGTTAGATTTTGAAGTGCTTTTAGATCTGTCATTCTATTCTGTGCAGATTAGCCCTTTATTTCATTAGTAGTCTCATTAAAATATGAAGTGTATGAAATCATAGTAGCATTATAATTCCTGATTTTGTACTGGTTCACGTGGGAGGTTTGCCTTCATAAACAGAACCATTGGAAGATTTACTTCAAGTGAGAACGTAAATGCCCCAATAAGCATAGGAAACCTGGCAAAATACATTAAAGCTGTATGAGAACATGGCCTTCTATGGAATATATTGGACCAGTGGTCTTTGTTTCAGTTCCCTACCCCCAGCCTGCTGCCATTTTCACCATCTGGTTTATCACTTTATGAGCAAAAGACACACAATTCCCTCTGGATCTAGGGTTGTAATTACCAATTCTCACTCGTCTCTCTTCCTGTGTGTTGTTCTTTGTCCCTGACTGCCAGCTCGCTCCTGGTGGGAACCACGACCCAACTTCTGCAGATACACATGCACACTTGAAACAGTTCATAACTCCAAGCTGTTTCTTAACCTCAAGAATATTTCTCAAACTGTTAAAAATATATGTATGTATAAGATTAGTACTGATGTTTCTGACATAAACTGTTAATGTGCAAGGAATTGAATGGAGTTTAGTATTCAGACTTCCACGGTGGTGTTATTTTCAGTCTGTGCCTGCACTGCAGACTGCAAGAAACACGGATACCCAAGCTGGCTTTAAATGAGCTGCCTCAGATCCTGGAAACACTTTAAGAGCAGCAATGTCAAAGTCAGTGGAGGCTAATTTACTCTGCTTCTGGCAAAGCGTCCTGCTGCCTCTCTTGGAAAGCTTCCGAGGCTTGGTCATCTAGGAGTCTGCCCATAGCACAGCCAGACATATACTGCAGTTAATTTGTTCCTATTGTTTCATGCCTGCCAGGGGAATCTCCAAAATACCATAATGCAGAATGGCCTTTGTTTTTCAGTAGATTTTTTTTTAAATGTGATTTCCGCATTTGCTTTGTCTGTAAACTTAGCTCTGATTAAATATATTACATATTTAATTATGGCAACAACTGTAGCTGTATTGGAACCCATTCTCATGGCTATTTTGTAAAAATACTTGTCTTTCCTTTGCAGTCTGATGTGTTTGACCCTTGCTAGCTTAACTGCTACATCAGAAAATAATGATACTTGACTTCTTGGGTTTGAGCTTATTGGTTAAATATACTAATTTTATTTCATGTTTCTTTTCTTCATAAGTCAATATTTGAGAGTTATGAATTGCTGAAATTCATGTTTGGACTTGTTTGGACTGCTTAAAATTGTCAAATAACATGTTAGGTAGTAGTGAGTCTTCACTGAAGTCTGGGAACTTTGCTGTTTTCTAGATAATGAAATATTATCTGAGATCCACTTAAAACTAATAACTGCTTTTAATTAGTATTTGCTTTCCTTGCAGATTTTCACAGCACTGCCACCCTTTACTCTGGGAATTTTTGAAAGATCATGTACTCAAGATAGCATGCTTAGATTTCCACAACTATACAAAATTACTCAAAATGCAGATGGTTTCAACACAAGGGTAAGGGAAAGTCTGTTTCTTTAAGAACAACTATGGGCATTCTTATTTTCTAGATTTTTCTTGTTAGAATATAACTTGTTTTCCACTGTTACTTCTGCTTTATGCTAGCCACTAAGATTAAGATTGTTCCATCTCCTAGTTCTTTTCAAGAACATTTTAATTTTCAAGAATTTTTAAATTAAATTTTAAAATAATATTGTATTATAAATAAGGATTTCTGCTGTGACTTCAACTGAAACTGGTCCTGAAATATCCATAAACTTTGATTCAAAGTAAGATTTCTATCAAAGTATGATATTTCAATTCACAACTGCTGATAAGTCATGGGTTTACCACTTCCAAAGGAACTGGATAACATTACCTGGATTTTATTTAATATACATGTTTTCATAACGCTCTCTGCTAGGGTGCTTTTTCACAGCTTTACTATACCTCCATTCCAGTAGTTCTTTTGGAAAATAAAATTTGAATTGGTTTATTTGGTCTTCTGACTTTTGAAGAACGCTTTTTACTTCATTTTGCGATTTAAATGCTGGAAAATGCCAGCATTTGGTATTCCATCTTTATTCCGAAACAAACACATCTAAATTTACTTCTGAATCAAGGAAGCTGTGCATTCGATTTATCTGAAGGCAAAATTGTAGAGTACGTAAAGCTCTAGTTTGTACAGAGCTGCTGTTATCTTAAAAACTATGGGGCACAAAGTATTTGTCCATTAAGAGAAAACTGAATCGATCTTTTAAAATCACTCTTTGAGGTAATTAAAGAAGGTTGACTCTGTCTGTCTGGTGTATTTTGATAAAGATGTTAAATTGCAAGTGTGCTTGCCTATTATCTTTTAAGTTGGTAGAATAAAACGATCAAACTGGACCAGTGTTTTTCTTGTGAAAAACCAGAAATTATAGGAGGAAATAGATCCTGCAGAATTTTAGGTATTTCACTTCAGGACAAACATTGTCCGATGCTAAACTACACAATGAAGTGTTTGTTAGGAGTTAGAGAGAGGTCAAGAGTTTTGGACTTTACTGATGGCTTGGTTTGTTTTCCCTCAGGTTTTCTGGGGTCACTGCATCAATGCCCTTATCCATTCCATCATTCTTTTCTGGTTTCCACTGAAAGTGCTGGAGCATGGTAAGGGCTTCTTTATTTCTTATGTCAGTAACTCATGTTCAGCGTTATAGAGCCAGTGTGTTTGCAGAACAGGGGGTCTTAACAAGTCTCAAGAAAATAATGCTGACAGACAGTTAGTAGTCTGTAGCTGCTGAACTTTGCCAGTTACCTAGTGGCTTTCAGAAATTATTCTAATTTAACATAGTTATTGTTCATATAGTGACTTTAATATGTGAAAAATGAACCTGTTGCTTTGCAGAAAGTTTTACCCAAATACTGAATAATGTCTTATAAAATGCCATTTTTTTTTTTTTTGGTAGTGGGTTGATACCTCAACTTCTAGCTGCATAATGTTCTTACAGCAGCTGCCTGACAACCATTTGCTTTATATCTTGTTGAACCTTTCCTATTCAATAATACAGTACTGTAAAAAGTAGGATGAAAGAGAGATTTCACTACTATTTAAGTCTTGTGGAGGAAAAAATGAATTGGCTGAAATGGAAGTAAACCAGATCAAGAGCCAGAGATATTAGGGAAATGAGACTTTTTGTTGTACAAATTAGTGTTATTAAGTCTTGCTTTTAATGAAGGGTAATGCAACTACGTGGTATTTCAGGGACCAGTAAATCCCACATGGTTCCTACCTATCAATATAGTTGTGTGGGAGGGAGGAACTGTGGGAAATCTGTTCTTTTACTGTAGTAAGAAGTAGGACTAGATCAGATGAGGAATTTAGGGATGATGATGAAGGGGATAGTATTTATCTAAAATAACAAACAATTTTTTCAAAAGTGAAACTCTTTCCTGGAAAACACTGATTTCAAGAAAAGCTTCTCAGGTCCAGGACGGATTAATTGGGGAGGAGTTCAAAGAAATGGAAAGGGAAGGAAGATGAATGCTTACATCAGAGGCATGATGGTAAAGATACTTGTGGGAGTCAGGTTCATGTTTCTCTATCTCGCTGAGTAAAATGTCAGTATCGTATCCTCAGTGGGAGCTTCACATGCTGTCTGATGGACCCTATAAAGAAGGGACTTCCCTTTCCTCTCTATGTGGACTGGGAGAAGGTTGAGTTTTGTGGGAGAGGAGTTTTTATGGTTGAGTGGTTTTTGTTTTGATTTGAGGTGTTTTATTGTTCTCTTTCACTGTTTTTATGAGAAATGTTAATCTTGAATAGCTCCTCTTAAAATCCAACTTCAGAAATTTCAGGTTGACTTCTGTAGTAGTAACAGCTAAGGAAAAGTACAAGTTTTGTTTTTTTCTTCTGTAGATATTTTCTGGTTCCTAAATAGATAATGTACTTTTCATTTCACCAATTAAAATTACAAGACCAAAATACCATCTCGAAGGCTAACTTTGAGTTCCTTCGAATAGGTTTGTTAGCTTGCTTTCCAAAGAAGAATGAATATTGAATTTTCAAGTTTCTTTGCATTTCCAAGTGCAAAAGGGATTTCAGTGCCAGAGACAAAAATGTGCCATTCACACTGGGACGTTTTTAACCTGTCAGGTTCCTTAGAATATGAAGTACATATAGACCATGAATGAGCACTTGTATAGTTTCAGAAATGAATGTTCACTGAGTGTCCTGCTATTCTCATTAACAGAAATATCATTCCTTTCAGGACTGCATAGCCTTTTAAAGTGAAAGGTCATGCAAATCACTGGAGGGGGGAAAGATGTTAACTTACTGCATTAAAATGTAACCTTAAAAAAATTGAGACTTAGAGCAAAATTTATTCAGTTACTTAAATGTGCACTGTGATGTTACACTAGAGCACAGCCAAGTCATTATGTCAGGTTATTCTATCAAAATTGATACATATTTGGGCATACCTTTTTCTTAATAAACTGAGACTTTTGGCATCAGTAGAGTTCAACAGGCATGGAGGACTGAATTCTGTAGTGCTCTTCACCTTTTCCATTGACACCAGAGGAAAGAGCAAAATGACAGTTTTTAAAACTTGACATATACTTGTGAATGATGTGGGAAATGCCTGACACCACACCATGTACTGCAGGAGGAGTTGGGGTGATAGAGATGCCTGTGGCTAGAAACCAAACCAGTTCCTAACCAAGCTGTCTCAGGCTTTACTCCTGTTCCAATGTTTGTGACTGGTCTATCTGCTGCTGTTTCTTAGTAGTTAACATTCAAAAGAGAAAAGCAAGCAGGGATACAGCAATTTCTGGAAAATGCTCACAGCCTGTCAATTCTTTGGAGACAGCCACGTGCAGCCATGGTAGAAGAAAAACAAAACAGGTAGCTTGGGTTAACTACACATACTAAATATAGAGGATTTTTTATCTGTAAACTGGGCAGAGTCTTCACTACAGAGGTCAGGGTGTCTGAAACGCTTCTTTATAGGCTTAAAAATTTACTGATCCTGGAGTACATGACCCTTCTTTAAGAATGTCAGATTCAGTTTTGCAAATAAAACTAACAAAATGGTACTGTCATAATATAAGCACACTGTGCTAGGCAGTATGTGTTTAGGAATAGGTCCAGGGTTTTATCTTAAGTGTTTTTCATCCCTGCTGTGCTTGTATTTCTCCAGCAGTTGTCTTAAAACCTGTGAAAATAGCAGTACTTATCATGCTTGAGTAATGCTTGAAAACTCCTGTGAGTTTAAGTTCACTTGGCGTTAGTGTGGCAGTCTAGTTTGTTTTCGTGGTGTTCCGGTTTTATTCCGCAAGGGCTAAGGAAGACGAAATGACATTTGAAGTATTGCCAAGGTTGGCCCTTGCACGTGATAGATTAACGTGTATTTACCCTTGTGCACACTTGACTAGAGAAAGGGTATGTGGAGGCTGAATACGGCTCTGTTACTGAATTAACTTCCCGTGAGATATTTTTGATGTTACATGTGTCCTTTACAGATAAAAGTTTTCTTCTTAATTCAGCTCTCTTTCACCACAAATCAGTTGGTGTTTTACTGGCTTTTTCGTCACAAGCACACAAATAATGAGTTTTATTAGAGGTGACAATAAGTAGTACAGAACAGACTGACAGAAAAATTGACACACATACCTTAGCTCCTAGAGGCAAATTATATGTTATACTCTGGCAAACATTTCCCCTTTTTCTAGGCCAGCTTCTGGCAAACAGGGCTATGGATATATGCTCTATCTGAGCATCATGTATGAGGCCTGGCTTAGCACAGCTTCTGCATTACCATTTTCTCAGCTTCTAAAAGTGCTTTTATATGTTCAAAAAGGCAAGGTTAGGACCAGCTGTTTTCTCCTGAAAATCTCTATGTTATTTAATCCATTCCGTTGATACACTAATGTAAAATGTGATAATGTTTATGTTTTTTTTTTCAGATGCAGTATTCACAAATGGCCAGGGAATTGACTATTTATTTGTTGGAAACATAGTTTACACTGTAAGTTTGTGTATCCTGGCAATTTTTGAATGGTAGAATTCTTTAGAGTCTTTTTTATACCACCAGAAAACTGTGTAAACCTGAAGAAAGTGTGTGAGTAAAGTAAGATCAAACTGATACCGTGTGCCTGATTTTCCCTCTTTCTTTTTAATTTTTTTCCCAGACATGCGCCTGCAATAGCTTATGCCTTGTCCTTCCCTAATCCCACACTGCCAAGTTCCTGTGTTGCTAGCTACCTAAAATGGTAGTAGCTTTTGAGATGTAAAGGGAAGATTGGGCCATGAACATCTTTGAATTTGAAAGTGTTAGTAATCAAGTTGTCTTTTTTCTTTTTTCTTTTTTTTTCCCCTTGCAGTATGTTGTAGTCACTGTTTGTCTGAAAGCTGGCTTGGAAACAACTGCATGGACTAGAGTAAGTGCTTTCCAGTATCTTTTATTTTATTAGCCCACCTTCCTCCCTAATGAGTATTAATGCAGAAAAGAAGTACTAAAAATCACTTGAGACTTCAGAGTTCTAATTGGATCTTTCATGTAAGGATAAACTGCTAAGCTCCCTAAGTACAGAATGTGAGACGAATGAACTCAGAGATCACACGATATGTGTGATGAAAAAGGACAGCCTGACAGAAGTGGGAAGAGTACGCTTAAGTGTATTGTCAACATCTCTACTTAAAAACGAGAAAATTTTACATGAAATCAACATACTACTGTAATTGCTTAAGGAAATAGATCTGTAGCTCCTTTAAAATTAATGCAATGGGGAACAAAAGGTGTCTGCCCACAGATACACAACTGGGCTTTGAAAACATCTTTGAACCAGGTAAAAAGAACTAGTGACTTCACATTGGTTGAGAGTTTTGTTTGGAAACTTAGTGTAATAAGGATGTTAGTTAAATACTGATGTTGATTCCCAGATTTGAGTTATTTACTTGCAATGAGTGAGGGCTTTGTTACTGATAGGTGACAGAATTCAGCAGGGCAGTGACCTCCAAAGAGTATGGGGGGATAGGAGAGGGCTTCTGTGTTGATGAACCTTCAACACCTTTCTCCCCTGCTTTCCCCCAGCCCCTCTGAAACACTCATTTTTTGATTCTGATCTAATCCCTGTTTCTTCACACCAGTAAGATACCATATTGGAATCTAGTTTTTGTGATGTACAAAGAAACTTTGCTGTTTTGAGGATGCTGTATATTCTCATTTTACCAGTTTCTTGGAGGGGCTTGGCTTACATCTTGTACCCTCATTGTTTTTGTTAGTTATGTTTTATTTCATTCCTCACAGAGGAATTAAAATCAATGAGATGATGTCTGTTCTGAATTTTAAAGATGAAATGGTATCTGTACAAGTTATTTAATTGTTGGGGAGATGGTAGTATTTTCTGCCTCATTCTCTCATCTGAAAATAAAATCTCTTCTTTTTTTCTGCTGTTGCTTATGAATCAGTTCTGTGTTGTGTACCAATGTTTTAAAATGCAAAAATATTTAAATTAGTCCCTCATGCACTAGAAGAGGGTATCCAAGTCTGCATTGGAGGCATGTTAGCCTGCTTAGATCCTGTCTTACTGTGATTTATTTGATGGTTTCTCCTCTCTCCTCTTCCCTTGGTAACTGGTCTTTTCAGTCACGGGGGGGGTAATCATGATGCCCTCTTTTCTAAACTTTTGTTTTAAAAGATACCATAGTGGTTAGTAGATCTCGGTGTTCTATAACACTGACATTTGATAGAGAAATTATTGTTATGCACAGAAAAGTAGTTGTGTTTAGAATCAACTTATCCTCTTGGAATCTTATGTTGGTTATAGTTATTGTTTCAGCTGAGTGAATCAACACACAGAGAATCTTTAGGTTACTTTAAGAGTATTAAATGTACAACCCAGAGTTAAGCCTCTTCTCCATCATCAAGTGGATTGTTTACAGGCAGTTTGTTCTTGAGAGTTACAGGGACACTGCCTCTTGGGAGAACACGATGGGTTCAGTGGAAAGCTTTAAATAAATAATACAGAGTCAAAGTGGTTGAGAGCATGGTATATCCAGTAGGTAGTGTGAAAGGAAAGGTTTTGGAAAAATGGTAACATGATGCATAACAAAATCTGCACATTAAAGTTACGTGGAGCAGTTTCATGTTACATGTTACCTATCTGGAATACTGCAGTAGGCTTTTTTCCAAACACTTACAGCTTTCTTCACTGCTTTATCACACTACATGAACTGTTTCAGATAAATAGGACACATGGCAGAGCCATATACTATGTCTGGGTTTTATGTGAGAACCTTAATTTCTTTTTTTCTGACTGTCATTCATTTAACTCATCTGATGGACTTGCTTCTGATTTGCACATGAATTCTCCAGGGTTAAATGGCAGAGATCAGTGGAGAATCAACAGTGAAAAGGTTGGTGGGGTGAGTGTATAAGGAACATCTTCAAGCAGGGCAAGGAGGGCTCTTCATGAATGCAGAAGCACTTTTAAAGGTAGAGAAGCAATTTGGGTAGATATAAGCATGAGCTAAGGAGATGATTGGGACAACCATGAGAAGAAGGTAAAGACAACATAAAATGAGCTAAGTCTGCTCAGCTGGAAAGGGTGAGGTGAAGAGCTGCTAAACTCAAAAACTGTCCTGCCAGCAGATTGCAAAGAAAAACCTGAGTGAGACAAAATAATTATGGCATTTCATTAGCATAAATAGACCTCCTACAAAATAAGGCTCTGTCTTAGGTTGGTTTCTCTGCTTGATTTTATTTTTACTGTTTTTAATCATAAAGTCTAGGAATCTACAGCTTGGAAGCATCGGTCCAAGCTATCCTGAGCCTTCTGTCCACTTGTTTGAGAGGAAGGCTGTGGCTTGAGGGTGTATCATGTCCTTTTTTGGAAAGCAGTGCTACCATTACATGGGACTGACTTTTCTTAAAGTTGAGTTCTTGCAGAAGCCTTGCAGTACTTCAGCTTTGGGAAACTGAGGACTACAGTTGTTCACTGGGGCAGGGCTTTTAGTCAGAATCTTGATGTGAATTGACCGTAGTTTTCATAACAGCAAGTAAACTGAAAGGATAAAATCCCTCTTCTCCTCCAAGTGTTTTAAAAAAAACAGAACCAAAAATACTTCAGTCTCTTTGTTTTCTTCATATTAAAACTGAATCAGGCATGAGAGGGTTTTTGTTTGTTTTATTGGTTGGGTTGGGGTTTTTTTGGTTGATTGTTTTGTTTATTGCAGGCTTGTTTGTAATGAAGTAGTTGCTGGTCTGATCTCCTGGGTGAAACAGAATAAATAGCAAAATTTGAAAACAAATCTTCCTGCCCACTGTGTGTCTCCAGGAAGGGGCCTATCCCATGTCCTGCTCATTAGCCCAGCAACTTTTAGGGTTGAACAAAATTCCACATTTCTGGGAGTGCCTAGAAGAGTGTTCTTTCCACTGCCCCTGACATTTTGCTGTATGAATGCTTCTAGTGTAAGGTGGCCTCTAGTTGGTCTCAACTATCTGCCAGTCTGTAGTGGTGCTGCAGACTCCTTGCTTGTTTGTTTTCACTGCCTCTGCTGGAGAAAGCTGTCCTTTCCAAGGATGTTAAGTGGTTCTAGAGTAGGACAAATCTTCTCCTTCTTCCAGAAGTTTGTATCTGTCTCACAGCAGGCAGAACACAGTACTCCTCAGACACTTCTTTGGTTCTCAGACATACTGTTCAAAAAGTCAACAGACACAGTCATCAAATAGAAAGTATAAAGCTGAGAACTGAACAAGCATGCTGTGTCCACCACAGCAACCAGTATGTGAATTCATTCCCATGTTCCTAAACTCATATGTAATTAGTAATTAAGATTTATGCAGGTATTTCTCTGAATTGCAGCCAAAGTCATCAGCCGCAGAAGTTGTTGGCACCCAAAAAAGCTGGAGCAAATAATGAGCTCAGTTGCTTGTTACAACTGAAATTACTGATACCATCCACTGCAGTGTAAAAGTAAAACAACTTAAATCATCCTGAACAGAAAAACAGTTTGGGCGTGTAGAAAAAATTACTTTCTTTAGTGCAACTGAGATGAAATCTGTGCTGGACATATTCTTGGTCACTTCAGAACTACTTTTATTTTCACTTAGTGAGTCTACAGACTAAAGAACCAGTAAAGATGTAAGCTGTGTTGCATATCTGTAAATCACTTAGATTACCTTTAAAAAAAAAAAGCAAAGTGGATCAGTAGATGTTAATTGTGGTAGTGTATTACATAGCACTGCATCTTCCTCTGTGAAAGGTGAGTGATGCATACAGCTTGCATGTGTACACTGCCATAAGGGATTTGTCCATGTGAATTTTGACCTGAGCATTTGAAAATTTCCACCTTGATTTATGTGAATCTGGCACGCAGGAACTAGATGAGAGAAATCAGAGTTCCAAGGAAAATCTGGTGGTTTTTTTGGAGCTCCAAATAAGATAGATTGGCTGAGAAGACTATCTGTCTGCCCTGTCGCGAGGCAGAGATTAAAGAGAGCTGCTTTATGATGTTTGAACAACCTGTGCCACTGGCCTGAAACCAAGAGCAGTAGACAGGCCTGAGTGAGACCGACAGAGACCTGAACAGGGAAACACTTGTAGGTTGGGTGAATGGAGGAGGTGACCTGTGTTGACTCTCCTTTCCCTGTTGCTTGACAGTTCAGTCACCTGGCCGTCTGGGGAAGCATGCTGCTCTGGCTCGTGTTCTTCGGTGTCTACTCAGCCATCTGGCCCACGTTTCCCATCGCACCAGACATGCTGGGGCAGGTCAGTACGAACATTTGGCTGGGTGGGGAGCTGCCCAACACAGCTCCCTGAACACTCACACAATGCTTGGAAAGGAATTGTGCTCTAATGAGAGTGCTTGTTCTTCTTTTTAACCTTTTCTTAATCCCTGCATTCATTTAGCTTAATCTCCTCATTAGAAGAGCTCTCTTTCTCCCCAGAAGTGACATCATACATGATTATGTGCACTGGGGATACTATATGACAATTCTCAGTTCATGTCGATAGCAGTGAGACTGACTCTTTCATTAGTGCCTTCCTGGTAAGATTTTGTGTGTTTGACTAAATATCATATTTATTTGTTGTTTTTTTTTTTAATCATGGATTCCTTCTTTTCCATATATTTTACTTTCATAGTGTTCTGTTTTTCCTTCATTAATTTAAAATAAATTGAATTTTCTTGAAAATCAGGTGAGGTGGTCAGAAGCAGAAGGGGAGCTGCTATGTTACTGATCCTTTTATATTACTAGAGGAATTCTGGATTTGTTCCTTCCACATCAGCTGAGTTCCACGTGGTGAAATTTTTCCATCAGTATTATTATTTCAACTCGTGGTGAGAAAATCAAGTTGCAAACCTGTCAAAGTCATTCAGGAGCCTTGTGCATGTTTAAAATAGGGGGCTACCATGAACAATTAAGGGCGTAATAAATGTAGGATAGTATGTTACTCTGTAGAAGTGGAACTGCTTTCAAAATTACCAGCAAAATGTATTTTGTAGTAAGTTTAGACTTTTCTTTAATGGAGAGATGCTGTTTATGATACAGAAAGAAGAAAAGCAAACTAATAATTTTAACAAATTAGCTAAATATGCTTAGATTGCCACCCTTGTACTACAAAATAATGATACAAAAGTCAAGTGATGGCAAGTCACTTAGAGATTTTTGAGGTTACTCCTGTGAGTTGGTATTCAACAAGAGTAGTCAGACATGATTTTTTTGCTGGTTCTAGCTTAATACATATTTTATTATCATGTGCCAAAACACTGAGGGTAATGGAGGCTATTGTAGATTTTCAACAGCTTTTTACAACAGAGACAGACAGCTGACAGGCTGGGATCAGCAAAGCCTGACAGACAAAGCCTCAGTTCTCTGACAGTATTTCATGGTGATCTTTATGTGTTTCACAGCAGATACAGCATTGGTAGCTCTAATTCACATTTTCATATATTGGGCAGAAATTTGATGTCGGTATCATGCAGAACCATGAATGACTTGTTTTCCACAGCAGACTTCTAGTGCTTCCACTATCATGTCAGCCTTCTAAAATTCAAACAATACGGTGAGCTGTTGCTTTATACAAGAAGGGTCAGGCTATTGGCTTTAGCTTGGTGTTTCTTCTTTTTTTCCCCCCAAAATAACTCTCTTTTTTGTTATTGCAACTTAAACAGAATTCATGTTGTGTTGGTCATCAACATTTGCTCCAACATATAAAACCACAGGTCTCAGAACAAAAGCTTCATGTTAATAAGGCTTTGGTTTTGCTTGAATGTTTTTAGAAAGTGTTTCTATTTAACCTTTGGTTTCATGGTCTGGTTTTCTGACACTGTGACTTGAGAAGTGATGCTAATATCTTGCCAAGATGAAAATAATGTAATGTACTTTTTTTAAATGAAGAACACATTTACTTTGACTGATAAAGTGTCTGCTCCAGTACTTGTGGAGTTATGCCCCTGGGTCAGTAATTATCAATCAAAAATGTTAAGAATAGGTCATCATTCTATGAAGATGCTTTTTGAATTCAAGCAGTCAGAAATAAGCTGTTGTATGGCTTTCAGTGTGTGCTGGGGGGATCAATATCAGTTTTCTTGTATCTATACCAACTTTCTTGTATTTTTGAGAGCAGGAGCAGCAGTGGAAGAATGTTGGGGTTTTGTTTCTTTTATCTTTTTGTAAAATCAGAGGAAGGTCCCAAGGTAAAGGGAGCTTGTTTACCACTTGCATTAACTCCCACAAAGTCTCTTGAGTAATCAGTTGCTGTCATGAAACTAGCTCGTGGTGAAATGAGCTGGGATTGTGCTAGGCTCTAGCCTGTAAAATGAGTTATGTTGCTGCTTCCCAGACTTAAGCAATTCCTTTACCCTTGCTGTCTTCTTCATTTATAAGTAAACAAGGTATCTTAAAAGCTTTAATTTTGTTTTAAATCTTGCCAGTATGTTTATCTTCAACTAAAATGAACTCCAGGATATTTTAGACCCTCATAGTATGCAAATCCAATAGCACTCAAAGGGAGCTGATTTTAACTGTAATACTCATCTAGCATTTGGGCCAGCCAGGAGTCTGTGCTGTCAGTAGGAGGCATAGGAGGTGCAAAACATTTTGTTCTGTCCATTCACGAAATGTCAGAGGGGAGCCTAAGCAGACTTTTAAGTATGTTAAAAGACACTTTTTTTCTACTGGGGTTTACTAAACTAAGTTTGCACTAAGTATTTCTTTATCTTGCCCATAGCATCTTGAGCATTCTCACAGGGAAGATAATACCATTTTCCCTCCTTGAGGGCAAAGGGAAGCAACTTACTTATTCTCTGTCGTCAAAGAGTCAATATATTTCTTCTGTTTCCCCTACAATATTCATAATGGAATACATGTGGCATAATAAGACAAAACCCTGATTAAAATCTCAATAGTCCTTGATAGAGGTTTTCCAGTAGTATGACATCTGGAAGTAAACTCTCTGGCTCTTTTGGGGGAACCTTTTCAGAATGCAATTTTTCTTTAGTAGTATAAGCAATAATAATAGAAGAGCAAGGAAGCCTTCTGGTAGCTCTCTTGGCCTTCCTGAATATTTGCACTTTTTCAAGTGAAGTTCTTTTTATAATTGCAGAGAACAGTGACACTGAAAAAAGTTGATGCCTTTTTTTATTGTCTTGCCTTTGGAGCTAAGATACTTTAATGGAACTTACTGCTTTTGAATGGGCATTTCCAGATGACAATATTTTGTACAATATATGAATCCTTTCCCACCCTTCTGTAGTTATGACTTACCACCACAGATTGTTGAAAACAGGTAGATGTCTGCGTTTTTAAAAAGCTACCTACTTTGATTAAGATTTGATTTGATTTGCTTAAGATTACCTACTCATTAATTATAAGAGGCAGTACAGAAATGTACTGCTCTGAGGATGTGACTGCCTTTTTAATGATCGTTTTCATGAACTTTTGGGGCATTTAGCTCATAACCCAGTGATATTTTGTTGACCAGCACATTAGCCATAGTTCTGCCCTCTTGCAATCTTGGGTATTGTGTTTGTTTGCCTAGGGATGGGGATTTGGTGTCCTGAAGGGAACAGTGAGCGCTAACAATTGTGCTTATTTCTTGCATATATCATATACATGGTGTGTGAGATATTCTGCTTGTATTCTGTTGTGTGGATTTCTTCATAGGAATTGAAGCATACTTTAGGTTTATGGGAATAATATTGCACTGTTTAGGATCAAAGTCTCTCTGTAGGTATTGCCACCCACACACATACCTAAATACCTGTACCTGAAAGTGTGTACAGGAAGGAGGATGTTATGACAGTGATCATGCTTTGAGTCTTGATTTAGATGTTATTTGAGATAAGAAAAACAGATTTCATCATTCCCTGCCTTGAGCTGAAATTTTTAGTGTTTTAAGGGAGAGTGGGGTTGGCAGGGAAGGGATGTTGCCATCACCCCTCTGAAGCATCTGCTGTTGTTGATGATGAAAAGACTGCTTCTTAGATGTGATTTTTTTTTTTTTTACAGTTTATTTACCTTAATATAAGTGTTGTGTTTTGTGTTTGCCTCATTAGTTGTTGTTACCATTAAGGAAATTTCTTTAGGAAGATGAGTATCAGTCTCATTCCCCCTCTGCCTAGAGGAAAGGGGGTAGAAGAGGGGGAGTTTTAATCTGATTTTGAAAGGGTCGTTATTGTGGTTATTCTACAGTACAGGTTAATGTTCCTAATTTTTTTTGACATTTGCTTTAAGCTGTGTGTGGTCATATCAGAACTGGGGTTTAAGAAACTTTTTGTGTTTGAAACCCGTTATCTTGATCTCAGGACGTCAGGAAGCCCATCTTATCAAAACCTCATGGCTGGAGGTTTTGAAGTTGGAGCTGCTGCACTTCCCAGTTACTTTTATACACCTGTAGTTGAGAGAAAACTCATCAAATCACAGTCCAAATAATTGTACCACCAGCATAGTGGAAACAACTCTGTGTAAGAGCCAATTTCATAACTGTAATGACAGGTGTGCTTTTATTTGCTAGTGCTCTTCACATCCTAGACAGAAGATATTTCTTGATTTTTCCAGCTGAACTGTCAAATTCTTGCTAGGTTATTTGTCTGCTTATAAAGACTTTAAAGAAGCTGTGCATGAGCTTTACCTGGATTAAAGGTGATTTTTAAAAGGTCCCAGTAATGGAGATCCCATGTAATGTGACAGTAGCAGGATTTGCTTGTATTAATGGTTTGTTAAGAAAACGTTTATCCCTCCTTTAGCAAAGCTTCCCATTCCTCTGTGTATGGCATTAGCAAGACAGGTTTCCCTTGAGTGGTGCACTGTTGTTGGCTTTTGAGGGATGGAGGTGATGTAGATGATGGGATGGACTCTGGTTGCACAGTCGGTTTTGTAGTTGGCCTTGAGTCTGAAACTCTCAAAAATCTTTCTGGTTGAGTTCTTACTAAAGCGTGTGAGAACTTCATGGGTTACTAGACTTGGAAATAACACAAAGCAAACCCAAAAAATCCTGAAGGCGAGATAATCATTATTGCAGTGTAATAAACAGGTTTCACATTACTGCTCTTTCAAATCCACACTGCAAAACTGACAGCTTAATGTACATTTTCGTGTTTTCCAGAACATTTTTGTCTTTCTCTCTGCATTTGAATCTTTTTTCCAGAGGTCTCAGTTGTTGTTCTTTCTGACTTCTCATATTTCTGCAGTTTGGTGCTAGTTAGAAAATTGGCTGTTCTGATTGTGGTTTGTTTGTCTGCAATTGGTTGCACATTACATTGTGGT